CCTACTGAAAGAGGTATATTTTTATTATGATCAATGATATCACTGGAGATGGACAGGTGTTCCATTATCTCCTGCACCTATCCTTATAGAGCCAAGTGGCCAGTTGTAATTTATCATGCCTGAAGTACAGTATTTGTCTCGCCATAGAAGACACCAGTTGTGGGTTCTGAACTCTTGAATATCTGGCCCACGGCACCAGACAGTTAGTGTTGACGGCACTGCAGTATCATTCTCCACACAGGCATGCCCTTACTTCCAATACCTTACCTCGGGGTATTAAAGTTGTGCAAAATATGACATTTTCATTTCACAGATTTCTCCAAACTTTGTCCTTGTTGTCATTCCACGTGGGACCCAAATTCACTGAGAGACAGCCCCTGAGCAAAGTTTAATTTGCTATTTACAGCATGAAAATGTGAACAGTGATTAGTTCTAGGTATGGTTGTACTCTTAATGTTAATGGGCCAAGTTAATCTCTGGTGGAATTCCACTGATGTGATTTTGATCCACTACAGCTAGCTAAAGAGATCTGACCTCACCAAGTCTATTGATTCTGTGCAATGCATCTTAAACATAGCACTAACTTGTTGGAATTCCCTTTTGATTTTCTCCTCTAATGGTGTGAATCCTATTAAGAAAAAGACAACCTTCATGGCTGAGTCATATTTCTGTATTTTTTCACCAGTCAGCTACAGAATTCTGGAACCTCTTCAAAAGAAAAGCTGTCAAACACACTGGGTTTAGTCTGGCATGTGGGTGGATTTAGTCAGGCATTGAAATCAAATATGGCAATAGGAAGCAACACTTTGAGAAAGATAATAGGTTGGATCTGCAATTGCATATCCCTTTAGCTACAATCTGTATAGTGACACAGAAGTAGTGATAAATGTACAGCACTCTCTTGGGGTTTTTTGTTTGTTTGTTTAAATAAGAAGCATACCACACAGGTTTTCTCAACATTAAGTTTTCGCAACAGCTAAAGAGTAAAGAAATAAAGTGAACAGAAGATGGGGAATTTTTTTAAGTTGGGAAAAAATAAATTTCTTGTAACCTTATTTATTTCCTCTTTAAAGTGTTGTTACAAAAAAAAACTTGATTTAGTTTATATGACTTTAAAAATGTAAGTGGACACGCTGACCATTGGTGGTTTCTATTCATGTATATTTATAATAAGGATACAAGAAAGAACGTCTATCAAAACTAACAGCACTTGCATACATATTAAAAACAATCACAAGAGTAAGACTGCAGCCTCTCCTCACCTCGAACACCAGCAAATACCCAACCCAAAGTGAAAATTAAGCCTTAACAGTACCCCACCATTCACCAGGCCAAACAGTCACTTCACTGCCTGAAAATCTGAGGAGGGAACAGATGACGTTTACAACACGTCATGTGATGCAGGAGTTACTATGGAGCATGGACCTTTTTTCAGTAGTCAGACACATTTAAGCCCCCAAGTGATTCTTAAAGTAGAAAAATATAAAGGAGTTGAGAGGATCGTCCACCCTGAGGGGAGACCCCAAGCAACATGATCAACCTCTTCCTACATTCTCTCCAGTTATGACACATCCTTCCATATAAATGTAATGCAATGTAAATTTAGGTAGGGGGAAAAGAACATGATGTGCAACTTTTGAAAATAAGAAATCTTAAGCCATACACTTACCATTTTGTGTAAGATGCACCCCTTCTTCCTCCTTGTCTGATATCACATCTCCCTGCATCATTTCATGTCAAATCTAAGTGGACTGTAAACTCTTTGGGGCTGGTACTATGTCTTCATGTTCTCTATAGAAGGCCATGCACTGCAAGATTGATCCATACAAGAGTTGGTGAGGAAGTCTTTGACCATGTGAAAGTATAAAAAGGTATGCACTGGTGTTTCATGTGCCATGAAATGATATGAATAGTCCACCTAGAAATCAAACATATGATTGTGGATTGACAGCAGCCAGATCAAATGACTCAATCACAAAAGTAGAAATGACAGTTTCTAGCCTATTATCTGACTCCAGAAGGAATGAATTACTGCATACAATAGAGAAGATGTTGGCAACAGTGCTTCATCCACGTGTCAAAGGCACAATTAACATTATGGTGTCACTCCATGAATGTAGTACACAAATGAGAGTCTCAAACTAGGAGCTTACGTTCATTTGGGAGCTTGCCTTCTTTTCCCTTTGACTTCAGCATGGACCCAAGAAGAGTCCATGGAAAGCTACTGTTTGACTTGGAAGTGCTCCTGCTCACTGAGTCTTTCCCAGACCATCACAAGGGAGGGAGCCATTGCTAACTTCCTACAGCTCTCTTAAGATCTATTACTATTTACTGGGCACCTTTCATATTATATATATATAAAATTCAGAATTGATGAATTATCCAATGTACTAGAGCAACCTACTGTGTGCTAGCACTTGAGATTTCAGAATTCTGAATTCTTCACTTGATCAGGAATTGCCAGTTGTCCACATATGTAATCTATGTAACCATGTGATCCTATTATTGTTACCCTTGCCCTGCCTTAAACCTTCCCCCCTATTGTTTGGGACTTCTTTTGTCGTCTTCTACATTAGATTGTAAACTGTTCTGGGGAAGAGACTGTTTGTATAGCACTTAACTCAATGGGAACTAACAGAACACAAATAAAAAACAACAAAACATGATCTTAATAATTAGGGCAAATAAGAAGTATACAAATACTTTCAGCCTCTAAATTTAATTTGGTCTAAAAGCCCATATCTGCTTCAAGAAATCTGTCTTGCTCCTTCCACTTTTCAAATCTCATGTGATTTAAAAATCAAATAATCAAGAAATAAAATACATACACATATACAATTACTTCAGACTCTGAAAGGTTAGCCTGTTTTAATTTAGATTTCTGGGCAACTCATGGGGACAAAAGTCAGTTAATGAAGAAACATCTTCACGTTGTTTATTAAATATTAATAGAGCTCTGTGAAATGAAGAGAATTTGTACATAACCACTTCCTTGAAAATATAGATTTCCAAAGATTTAGAAACCCCATTACCTGTATCTATGTATTATTTTATTTATTTGGATTTAAAATAAGACACACCTATCCAAGGTGCTAGAGGATCTAACATATTTAGTCATACAATAAATAAAATTACATGTAAACCTTAGATATTTTGGGGAAGGGGGGAACCTGGATGTTTTAGTTGCAATATTCTATAGTAATGCCGTGTGTTACTTTCCTAGGCCTTCCATAATCCTGCAAACAGGTACACACATGCTTGGGGTCTGTACTGGGACCAAGGGTCTGTACTGGACCCAGTCCTATTCAACATATTCATAAATGGGGTAAACAGTGAGGTAGCAAAATTTGCAGAGGATACAAAACAACTAAAGATAGTTAAGTCCCAATCAAACTGCAAAGAGCTACAAATGGATCTTACAAAAGTGGGTGACGGGGCAATAAAATGGCAGATGAAATTCAGTGTTGATAAATGCAAAATAATGCACGTTGGAAAACATAATCCCAACTATTCATATAAAGTGATAGGAGTCTAAATTAGCTGTTACCACTCAAGAAAGATCTTAGTGTCATTGTGGATAGTTCTCTGAAAACATCCACTCAATGTGCAGTAGCAGTCAAAAAGGCGAATAGAATGTTGGGAATCATTAAGAAAGGGATAGATCAGGGATCGGCAAGCTTTGGCACATGGCCCATCAGGATAAGCCCCCTGGTGGGCCAGGCTGGTTTGTTTACCTGCTGTGTCTGCAGGTTTGGCCGATCGCAGCTCCCACTGGCCGCGGTTCGCCGCTCCAGGCCAATGGGTGCTGTGGGAAGTGGCGCGGGCCGAGGGATGTGCTGGCTATAATAGGGTATAGCAGACTATAACAGGGTTCAAAGAAGAACTAGATAAGTTCGTGGAGGATAGGTTCATCAATGGCTATTAGCCAGCATGGGCAGCGATGGTGTCTCTAGCCTCTGTTTGCCAAAAGCTGGGAATGGGTGACAGGGGATGGATCACATGCTGATGGATCACATGCTGAACCTGCTCAGTTCATTCCCTCTGGGGCACCTGGCATTGGCCACTGTCAGAAGACAGGATACTGGGTTAGATGGACCTTTGGTCTGACCCAGTATGGCTGTTCTTAACTTTATGCATGTGAATAGACTCAGACTTCAGCGGGACCATTCATGTGCTTAGTGATAAGCACGTGTGTAGTAAAGTGTCAGCAGGGTCAGGAGACAACATACAGACATTATATCATGCAGTTTGTTATCTAGGTTACACTGATGCACCACTGAAAACAAGGGCCCTAACTCATTTTGCTGTTATAAATCTTTGAAAATGGTATTTTATTTGCCTACCAGATGTTCCTGGGCATGTCTTCCCCCCACCCACTGTGGTAATGAAAGGAGTGAAAGTCCCAAAGAAAAGCTACTGCACCAGTGAGAGTCTTGTAACTAGCAGTATGGGAAAGAGAGCACGTCACAGACTGCAAATCATTTGCAGATCTAAATTGAATGTGGTTTGAAACTGGCTGAAGGCATTAAACAGACATAACTGCATGCGAGCCTTGATTTTAGCACGTGAGTGAAATATCAAGTCAAATGTGCCTTTGACATTGATTTGTTTTCTTTTCAGAGCAGGGTAGTCAGCCAATCAGCTACAAAGCTCAATAGAACAGTTTTATAGATTCTGAGGCATGAGGCAGTCTAATACACTGCAAATATTTACCTTGAAATCTGATAGAACCATTGGTATTTTAGCATTGAATCAACCCTTGCTCTCTCTCTCTCTCTCTCTCTGAAAAACACTGCCAGGCTACCTTCTGTCTGTACTGTCAGGGCCCGATTCTGCTCCACCTTACACTAGTTTTGACATCAGATAGTTTTATTGGTGACAACTGATTTACACCAGCGTAAATGAGAGCAGAATCAGGTCTTCAGTTTTTATGATGAGATCAGTGAACAAAAAGCTCCTTAAATATAAATGCATCTTCTGGTTGCTGTTCAGCTTTAATAAAGACAGTACTTAGCCAAGGATTGGCTGTTCAAAATAGCTCAGCTTTTTATACTGGAAGGTTGAAAGTGCTAAAATAACCCATTTTATGAACCAAGTTAGTATCATGCCTTGTAGCAAGGGCAGGGTCTACACTAAGAGTCTCTCCACACACAGATCGACATTAAACAGGGAACTAAAACTTCTCAGTGAGTTGTAGGTTCCTCTCAGTTAGTGACAGTTTCTTGAACTATGCTAGTGCCACAACAATTGGGGGTCTAGAACACAGGTAATGCAAATAGAAGATCAGAACTGGAAGGCCTATACAATGATCTGGGGCACAGATAAACTGGGTACAGACCAAGCTCCTTTATGAGTCCTGGAGAATTCCGTGTCTTTTCACTGCTGAGGCTGTCGTTTTCTCCGGAGAATGTTCCAATCCTCTTTATAAACTCCTGACTGGTGAATGAGTTTCACCTCTCCGGAGTAATTCAGTTTTTCCAAGGAACCCAGCTGATTTCTCAGAACTGGGTGAGCTCCACTTCCGAAGTTCCACTAGACTAGACCAGACTTTGAGATTTGGGAATTTAGCCCTTAGCTTCATGGGAATAGACATTGAGTCAACAGTCTACCTCCAGTGACCTGAGCGTGGATTTGCACCCAAATCATTTTGGATGTCTCTTGTTGGGAAACCTGAAGCATTTTATGACCTAGAGGTCGACCTTGCTCTCAGAAAAAATACAGAACCATAAAACACAATATGCACATTACACTTGCTGGCATTTACTCCTGTGCAGAGGGCCACACAAGGCCTCAGCATCACATAAACCTGGCCTAACTGTGCTCCCATTGAAGTTAATGATGAGAACTTTTGAAAGTCTCATCCTGAGGGCTTATGACGCTGAGGCCCTCTGCATGCAGGTGGATTGCACCTGTTCAGGGAAGGAATGAGCTTAGACATAAATAAACCAATGTTTTCAACATTAAGTCAGATTCAAGTTTGCCTTTTAACATATTTCATCTTTCTTCTCTTGGTTTCTTCTGGCTGAGGTGTCAGCCTACAAAGTTTAGAATTTACTGAAGAGGAGGATAAGTTGGGTCCCCCCCCCCACTGACTTTCCACATTGTCCCCAACTTCCGAATATTGCACATGCCCACCCAGTAGCACTACTGCTAACCTATTATATGTTAAACTATGTGTTTAACATTTATAGATCATTTTGTCCTCATGAGCATTATAATTCTGTTGCACATCATATTGTGAAACGAGTTTCACTGCTTCTCTATATGACTTTGGTTTATTGCATTTACATAAAGCTGTCTAACATTTATGAGGATTTTTATAACTTTATTAAATGAATTTCTTCAGCTGCCAAGGAGATAATATTGTCACTATGGAAATGC